GTCCTGATCATCTCCACTGACCCGGCCCACAACATCTCTGATGCTTTTGACCAGAAGTTCTCAAAGGTGCCTACTAAGGTCAAAGGTTATGATAACCTCTTTGCGATGGTAAGTCAGTCCACATAAAGTAAACCCTTTGAAATCAAATGGAGTTGCCATCAGCATGGGAAATTGGGAAACTTTCGTATGGAGAAAATTAATCTCAGAGGTCATATAATTTAAAATGCTGAAGCATCTGTATGGAAATCAACCTTTGAGATTGTTCCCTTCTATTTGATTATTGTTGTCTTATTCAAATTTTTTAGTTTTAGACATACAGTTTGTTTTCAGCTCTTAAAACAAAGAAGTGTTTTTATCATTAGTATTAGTTCGCCATTTCAGCAGAATCATGTGGACAGTCGGTTTCATGTTTCATCACAATCCTCCCTCTGTCGCCCCAATTTGCAGCTGGAAGGCATAAAAACTGGAGCGAATGGCTTGTAATTGACTTTCTCTCCTGCCTGTGTAAATGAAGGAGATCGACCCGAGCCTGGGCGTGGCGGAGCTGCCCGATGAGTTCTTTGAGGAGGACAACATGCTCAGCATGGGCAAGAAGATGATGCAGGAGGCCATGAGCGCCTTCCCGGGTATCGATGAGGCCATGAGCTACGCAGAGGTCATGAGGTGAATACAAACCCACCATCACTCCAACCTGACTGTGCTTTTTTTTTCTCATGCATTGTAGGGTTGTCAAAAGTATCAATACTCAAAAAAGTATCGATACTAAAACGTTGTATCCGGATACGATACTCATTTTAAAAAGCATCGATACGTTGTTTATGATCATTAACGTGACGTTAACCTTGAGTTGCTAGTTGCGGCTAATGGCTAATAATAACACGCCAACATAAATTAAGTCCGTCTGGCTGCAGACTGCAGGAAGCCAAGGATGGATATCCAACTCGCCCACGTCCAAGTCGGCCATTTTGATTAGGTCACCAATAGGAAGATCCCAGGCAAGAAAATCGTAATTGCTTTATGGCAATATAGACCTTAATTTAAAGATAGTGAAATTAATCTTGCAAACACTGAATTAAACTCTATACATAATATTATGGTGAAATAGTGGATGCTAAATAGGTTTGTACAATAAGTCCAAACTAGTTTAACCAAAAAATATTTATTTCCCACAATTAAGAAGGATGGAGGGTTAGGGTTAAGTTTAGGGTTAGGTTCATTAATGTGGGCCACCATAACATCAGTAACAGGTCAGTTTGAAAAGAAAGACACTAACCTGTCAAAATTCAGTTCAATTTTGGGGTCTTTGTTTTTATCCTTGTGGTATCGAGTATTGAATATTTTCGGTATCCAGTTGAACATTTTAGTATCGTGACCACCCTAATGCGATGACATGTATTGCTTCTGGTTTTGCCCCCCCGGGTGGCAGGTTAGTCAAAGGGATGAACTTCTCGGTGGTGGTCTTCGACACGGCGCCGACGGGCCACACGCTGCGCCTGCTAAACTTCCCCACCATAGTGGAGCGAGGCCTGGGCCGCCTCATGCAGATCAAGAACCAGATCAGCCCCTTCATCTCTCAGGTGAGGACCGGGGGGAGCGTCCCGAGCCTCTTCTGTTCAGGACTGAGGTTTTCCATCACTCTGTTTGTCTCCCCTCGCCCCCTTTCTGTCCGTAGATGTGTAACATGCTGGGTCTGGGGGACATGAACGCTGACCAGCTGGCCTCCAAGCTGGAGGAAACCCTGCCAGTAATTCGCTCCGTCAGCGAGCAGTTCAAAGACCCAGTAAGTCCCCCACAGCCTTTACCATGGAAGCAGGAGTACGTAGGCCTGTTTGTCTTCTCTTTTTTAGCCCTTTGTACACGTTTAGGGCTCACATCTATCCATATTAGGGATGGAACGGTTTCTGAAAACCGTCCGGACCGTTGGGTTCTGTCTGGGTTCGATTCGCGTCTGTTGCGTTCGGTTCCTCCTGCTCCTTTTTCTCAGAGGGAAGCGTTTACACAGACCAGAAGGGGGCGCTACTGCGCCCAAAGCCAACCACCAGTAGGAAACAAGAAGAGGAGCGAAGCAGCGTAGCCGATAATAAAAATCAGACGCGCCAACAGCAGTTTCTAGGTCTGCTGTATGGACCACTTTGCATTTAGAGGGAAGCACATGTTGGAATTAGCTCTGTTTCCTCTCTGGCAATGCCAGAATCTCACCTACTTTTAACCTCAGACTGTCACAATGATGTATCAAATGTCAGACTGCTTTTTTCTTTCAGTTTTAACCTGACTATACAAGACATAATAGATTTTCCTGACAATCAACATATACCGAACCGAACCGAAAACAGTGACCACGAAACCGTGAATCGAACCGAACCGTGGATTTTGTGAACCGTTCCACCCCTAATATTTATCCGTTGTGTGTTGAGGGTGTTTAAGTTGTATTCAGCAGGACTTAATGCAACTGGGGGTGTTTTGTTTATAGACTGCAAGAGTGAGTAAAGTTCGCCTTCTGTGAATGAAGACATGTTCCTCAGACTGTGTAAATAGATACCTGTTTCTACACAACACATCCAGATGAGCCCTGACTGGAGTCAGTTTTTAAGTCAGATGTACAAATTTAGCAATTTATAGAGGAATTGGACTCTAAAATAGGCTTGACCTGATCCGATATCTGGATCGGATCGGATGCAGATCCAGACTCCAGATCCAGTTTTTTTTAAAGTCCGATCCCACATTAGCATTAGCATTAGCATCTCCTAACCCACATGTCTGTGTCCTAAACATTAAGTTGTTATCAGAGTAAATCCCTGTTTTTCCCATGAGTCTGACAACTAAGTAAGTAGATAAATAACTTTAAACTTTAACACATGCTCTGACAGGCCGGGATCGGTATCAGATTTGAAGTGAAAAAAGCTGGATCGGGATATCTCTTTTCTAAAATGAATTAATCAAGACGTGGATAACAGAAAACCTGGTGGACTGAGAGGCCTGGATGCTGCTCCTTGTGAAGGGACGGTGCCGACCGGCCGGGCTGGGACAGAAAAATAATCCACCCCCTTCGTTACGTCACAGCTTTACATAAGTGGCCTAACTAAACTCCATTTTCAGTTTTCTCTCTGAAAGCGAACCCAGTCAGCTGACAGAACCTTCAAGGGGGTTAAATTTATAAATCTGCCAGAGGGGCAGACGGATCACTCCACGCGGCAGAATGAGATCGAGTATTTTGTTGAAGGCTAAACCATTTTTTTAATGCAACATTATGTTGTTTCCCTCAGTAATACTACATCCACTAAAAGTCAACATCTTTTTTGGTTTGATAAGGCTGTTCTAGGTGTTTAAGGTGCATTTGTTTCATGCTGTGTTTTCATGAGTTGCTACAGTTAGCAGGTAAAATGGTTTAATATGAAGCTAGTTTATACAGTTAGCAGGTAAACTGGTTTAAGATGAAGCTAAATCAGTTTTGAGTTGCTACAGTTAGCGGGTAAAATGTTTTAAAATGAAGCTGAATCAGTTATGAGTTGCTACAGTTAGCTGGTAAATTTTTTTAAAATTAAGCTAAATCAGTTATAAGTTGCTACAGCTAGCAGGTACATGGTTTAAGATTAAGGTAGTTGCTACAGTTAGCAGGTAAATGGTTTAGGATGAAGCTAAATCAGTTTTGAGTAGTTACAGTTATCAGGTAAATGGTTTAGGATGAAGCTAGTTGCTACAGTTATCAGGTAAATGATTTAGGATGAAGCTAGTTGCTACAGTTAGCAGGTAAAGGGTTTAGGGTGAAGCTAAATCAGTTTTGAGTTGCTACAGTTAGCAGGTTAAATGGTTAAGGATGAAGCTAGTTGCTACAGCTAGCAGGTAAATGGTTTAGGATGAAGCTAGTTGCTACAGTTAGCAGGTAAATGGTTTAGGATGAAGCTAGTTGCTACAGTTAGCAGGTAAATGGTTTAGGATGAAGCTAGTTGCTACAATTAGCAGGTAAATGGTTTAGGATGAAGCTGAATCAGTTATAAGTTACTACAGTTAGCAGGTAAATGGTTTAGGATGAAGCTGAATCAGTTATAAGTTACTACAGTTAGCAGGTAAATGGTTTAAGATTAAGCTAGTTGCTACAGTTAGCAGGTAAATGGTTTAGGCTGAAGCTCAGTCAGTGTTCGGTCATCAGCGGAGCCCGTGCTGCCTCTGAGTTCCTGTTTCTACCGTTTCTGCCTCAGGAACAGACCACCTTCATCTGCGTGTGCATCGCCGAGTTCCTGTCGCTGTACGAGACGGAGCGGCTGATCCAGGAGCTGGCCAAGTGTCGCATCGACACGCACAACATCATCGTCAACCAGCTGGTGTTCCCCGACAACGACAGGCCCTGCAAAATGTGCGAGGCCCGCCACAAAATCCAGTCCAAGTACCTGGACCAGGTGGGTCTCCACACCCCTCCCACCTCATTCAGACTCCTCAGGGTTCCTGTTGGTCTCTAATAGGGTTGTCACGATACTAAAATGTTCAACTCGATACCGATACTCAGGAAAATACTGGATAACATTTTCGATACCACAAGGATAAAAACAAAGACCCTTAAATTTAACTGAATTTTGACAGGTTAGTGTCAAACTGACATTTCAAACTGACCTGTTACTGATGTTATTGTGACTGGTGGCCTGCATTAATAACCCTAACCCTAACCCTAACCCTCCAGCCTTCATAATTGTGAGAAATTAATATTTTTTGTTTGGAATTATTCTACAAACCTATTTAACATTACGATATTTTAACATAATATTATGGATAGAGTTTAATTAAGTGTTCGAAAGATTAATTTCACTATTTTTAAATTAATGTCTATATTGCCATGAGGCATTACCATTTTCTTGCCTGGGATCTCCCTATTGGTGACTTGGATGTGGGCGGAGTTAGATATGTACTTGATTAATGGTAGCACGTTATTATTAACCATTAGCCGAAGCTAGCAGTTCAAGGCTAACGTCTTGTTAATTACCATAAACAACATAAAAAAAATACATAAATAAATCAGAGGGGAGGGGTGGTATTGATACTTTTGAAAATGAGTATCGTATCCGGATACAACATTTTAGTATCGATACTTTGGACAACCCTAGTCTCTAATATGGTTTCTCCCCCAGATGGAGGACCTGTACGAGGATTTCCACATAGTCAAGCTGCCGCTGCTGCCCCACGAGGTCCGGGGCGCCGACAAGGTCAACACCTTCTCCAAGCAGCTCCTGGAGCCCTACAAGCCTCCGAACAAGTGATCCCCCCCCCCCCCCGACCACCTGCAGGACCTCATCCCGATCCAAACC